TATAAAAGATCCTAGCTTAGGCTGTCTAAAAGTCTATTCTCCACGCCCTCTAATTACTTAGCGAAGTTATACATAGTTATAAAGTTTATTATCGTTTTTTAGGTCCGCGCGTTTTTATATATAAGCGGCCTATATACTTTTACTATCCCTTTTCGCCTCTTCTCTAGCGTAATCCGTTAAGGTAACGTTAATAACTACGCCTCCAGTCCGCTCGGCCCTTCTTATAGTATTAAGTCCGGGTACTCGGCTCCGTCGTTATTATTAAGTGTTGCTTTTAAGTTGCTGGCTACTTATACGTTTAGTAATGCAGTTCTTAGGCTCCTAGATTCCGTAATAATCGGTTCTTTACCTATAACTACCGGTATACCTTCAACGTTAGGGGTCTATTCGAGGGTTACTAATCCTCCTCCTTTTTTAAAAGCTATCCTAAGCGCTTCGACGTCTCTTAGCATAGGGACTACGGTCTAGCTTAGTTAAGTAAGTATTTCAAATTTAATAGTCTTTTAAATAAGCTCGCTTTCGTTTACGTCTAAGGCGCTTAAGAGCTTAAGAATAGTGCTCGTAATGTCCATAGGCTTTTAAATATCTTTAATAACTAAGCTAGCCGTAGTAACGGGTAATGCTTCCGCAACATCCTTCTTTAAATAGAAGGTAATCTTATTAAAATATATATTACATATAATCACTACCTATTTAAGTATAGGAACCTAGATCCTATATAGGTTATAAGTATTTACCACGTACCTAACAAAGTATCCGATATGCCCCCACGGAAACACTTTATAATATTTTTTTCCAATTCCCTTTTTACGGTCCTTCAAGAATAGGTAAGCTCTATAACTATAAGCGTAGAGGCCTCCCTAGTATAGGCGTAGGTCTCGAGTCATCCTATAGATAAACTTAGGCGCCTACTATTTAAAATACTATTTAAACTACTCTTCCTCTATTTAGTTAGGCGATTTCTAAACTATATCTTAGCGTAATAAGATATTATAAAGGAATATTCCTACTAATATATACTCGTCCTATAAGCTTTTTAAAAGTCTAGCTACTAGCCTTATTTTAATACCTTTAGTAATCGCCTCTTTTCTTATACGCTTACCCCCTCTTATTAGTTTTTTTATATGCGTAGGAGGGAGCTTAAGATCGATCCTTTTGTTTTTTACTTATATTTAAAACGGGGTTTCTCTATATATAGCGATTACTACTTTTTTATTATCTATATAGATCTTATAGATCATTAGGCCTTTTTAACGATATACCTAAAATTTAAAGACTCTTATAACCTTAAAAACTAATTCTATTTATTTACTCTTTAAAAAGAATCTAAAGAGCTTTATAAAGTACTTATTTTTAATTATAAATAGTTAAGAATAGCCTCTAAAAGATTTTAAGAAGTTAAAAAAGTCTTAAAATATATGGTAGTACGGTCTTAGGGCTCGATCTTCTGAAAGGGATTTAAAAATTACTTTTTATACGTATATAAGAGCGTAGTACTCGTATTCTACTCTTAATAGCCTTTTTATAATTACCCCCCGAGCGCTACGGACTAAATTTTAAAGGGCTTTTAGTCCTAAATAGCTAGCTTGGAAGTACTAAACCATCGCGTCGTTTATTTTATTTATATAAGCCGTGTTAAAATCGGGTTTATAGTATAATAAAATATTAAATTAGACCGTTATTATAAGATATAAAGAGCTTATTAGCACTAAAGGGCGGGCTATAGGGTAATAGGTAATAAGCTTATATTAAAAAAAAGTAAGATTATCTTTTTTAAGTAGTTAGGCTATTATTATATTCCTACCTATACTCCTAAAACGTAGAGTCGTATCGAGGCCGTAGTATTAAATTCTTATTTTTAATAAGCGCGCTTTAAAAACGATATTAACGTAGAAGCCTTCTACGATAGCGACGTCCTTTAGGACGAGGTCTTTAGTATTAAAGCCTTTTTTACTATAAAGAGCTTTCCTAAGGACCTTAATACCTATTCTTATGATATAAATACGGGTAATACCCGCTTCTACAAATTCGCCCTTTAAATAGGGTTTATAAAAACCCTCTTCTAATAAGGCCTTATTATTAACTAGATAGCATCCTCTATAGTTATCGTAGACCGTACTATTTAATAAGGCGTGGCATTCTCTAAAAAGTATTAAGAATATTAGAAAGCCTATGGAACTGCTTTCTTAGGGTTCTTTATTACTATTAAAGATAATAACCGTTACGACGCTTCTAAAGTAGTCTTCTAAGCGGGTTTTACTATCCCTTCGGTTCTTCTAACGCGCGCTTTTAGCGTTACTAATTAGCTACCCCTTTTCTTAATATTTAACTTAAATATAGTTAAAAGCTAATAATATTATTCGGTTTTTTATTTTAACCGTTTCTTCGTCTATAAGCTCCTTCGTATACTTAAAAGCTCTTATAAAAGCTTTCCGGACCTTTCCATAGTTTTATAAGGACTAACGATAATCTTCTCTATATAAACAAGCTCTAAACGTCGTTTTCTAATTATTAGGCCTATCCGAGCGTCCTCCGAAGGTAATAAAGAGGCTAGGGCCCCTACCACCGCTTTTTAAAAACTAGTCTTCTTAATAAAAGATTCCAAAGATCCGTCTATATTCTTTTAAAATTAAAATAAAACGCCTAAAACTCTTATTCATAATAAGCTCGTTAAGTGCCTACGTTACTTAGGTTAGTACAAGGCGGGTTCTAATAGCTTTAAGAAAGCTTTTTATTACTAGAACGCCTTAGACCTCAGGTATATTATAAGCCCAAGATCGCCCGTATACTTTATACTAATCGGAATACTAAATAGTTAAGGAAACGTTGCCTCGAGAGGCTTTAAGAAGTATATTATTATACTCTTTGCAGATTATTAAAAAAGTTATAGATTTAAAGGGTACTAAATTACGCCTTAATACGCGTATAAACTTCTAAAGATTAGTCTTGTTTTTATATAGGAGTTCTATTTAGGCGTTCATAAGCTTTTACGAGTTAACTATTTAGAAAATAAAAGATTCGATTATTCGGTAGCTCGCTATAATCGTTACTCATGTTTAGTTTTAATTAATATAATCTCTAATAAGTCGTTTATACTCATTTTTAATATTGTCGAACTCAATAGGACATAGTTTCGTAAGCTTATCGGTTAAAAAAACTTAGATTTAGTCAACTTTATCGTCGTTAGGCGTTTAAATTTCATTTCTATTATTACCGTTCTTTTAAACGGTTAATTATTTATAATAATTATTTTTTAATTTAATAATTCGCTCGGCGATTAGTTCGGTAAAGTCTAGTCCTTTTAATAGTTATATATCGTCGTTACTAACGTCCTTCGTATTTAGATCGATAAGATCCTAAACGAACGCGTTTTTTGCGCATACTTAGAGGCTAATATACTAAGCTAGCTAATCCGCTCTTGTATTAAGGCGTTAGCTATCGTTGGGTATAAAAAGTTAAACGGTTACTAATATCGTTGATAAGCGCTTCGTACTTTTATAAGTTTCGAAATAATAAAGATACTCGTCCGCTCCTATACTTTAGAAAAGGGGTCCTTTAGAGCTAGGCTTATAACTATTATAGGCTAGGAGCGTAGAAACGTAGTTCTTATAATCTAAAGTGCTTGTCTTTTTGAGAGGATATTTTATAAACCGATTAAATAGATATACCGGCTAAGGGCGCCCAGGAAGTGGGTTGGTAGGCGCACTTAAGCGGGTACCACCTCAGCCACACGTGGCTGTGCGCTGGACCTCCTGCGACAATAATTAAATAATAATAAATAAAATATTATAAAAAATATATTTACGATTAGTATTTATATATAAATAGCTTAAGTTAGGTTTAAAAATAGATTTTTATAACTTTTTAATAATTAATTTAATATTAAATTTCAAAATCGTTTTCAATTATTTTTATTAAGAACTTATTTAATAAAATTATAATTAATTACCGAAGCGTTATTTATTTTATAATTTATAAATAATAACTTTTTTAAAATTATTTTAATAACGATTATTATTTATAAATATCGTACTTTTAACTTTTATTAATATAAACCTGATTACGATTAGCTAGCCGTAATACTGAGTTGTTATAATTAAAAGACGATGCGCTTATTCTATTAAGTTCTATATAACTAAAATATTATATATTAACTTTCTTAATTAAAACATCCACACCTTTTCTAAACTTAATTTTTTAACTTAATATTAAATAATTTCTAATTTGAACCCTTAAAAAAAAACCTCTTTATTACGGGCGGTCAGGGCAACCAGCTGTGGCACAAAGCGAAAGCTTCAGTAATAATGACTCCGGCATCATTATCCCCTGTTCTGCTCTATATAGTTGCGCCGGCCAGTACCTAACTAGTTAGGCCGTAATACTCTTTGACTATTTTTATTACTTAAATATTCAAATTTAAATAGTAAATAAAATATACAAATATCCTTTCTTTTGATAAATAAATCAAAATTTAATCTTTATAACGCACTGTTTTTTAAAATTAAGTACTTAACCGTAGTCCTTTCAATAACTAGCCCCAATTGCCCTTATTCCTATCGGAGGTGATAATGCTTCGATATCTTCGTTAGAGATGCCCAGGCCCCTTGCTGCCGCCCGGTTCAATGCTCCATCCAACAAGTTCATGGCGAGATCCCTATTTCCGCTAACAGGGGATGTGATTGGGCTTTCTCGCCTCGTGAGCGGTGACGGGCGATAGATGGGAGTCCGGGTTTGGGAGGTGGATGTGGGCGAGTGAGACAGTTGTGGCAGATGCTTTGCGGGCAGCTAATGATGTGTAAAATTGGTATGAATAGTGATGGCTTTGCTCTTATCAGTTACACCTCCTTTCGGTTACCGTATCTGCCCACATCTCAAGCCGTGTTATCAGTGAGTTTCCTGAAAGTCACCAACCATAGTCTACCTAATAGCAATTGTGTATCCACTTGGTTGATTTGCCCATATACGCGAGGCATTCGGTTCTCCTTCCATCCCCTCCAGGCATGTCGTGCGTCTTCAATCGCGAACCTACAGTTGAAGGGGCAGACAAGGAAATATTTTGTTCAGGGTCGTTGGGCCGCCGTCCATCACCCCTGTCAACCCCCAGACCCGAAGCCCGAGTCCCGAGTCCCGTACGTCGAGCCTCAATTTGATTGGTAGTCTTTAATGTAATTAGGAATGTGTAGCCAAAACAAGCAATCGGCACTAGTCCTGCATTTTGTCCGTTAATAGGCCGAAACACCATTCCCGGATTTTTAGACATTCCCCCTTGCAGTGGTGATCGGTTGTCATTTTGGCATCTTGGCATACTATATTAAAACCGAGTCTGGCAGTAGAGAAGAGCGATTCAGCAACTAGAAAGCTAGTCAAACATCCACCAAGCATTTCTTTCCAACACAACAGAGCCCCATAAAGTCTAAAACGGTCGAGAATTGGAGGCGTCCAAGGAGATCAAGCTGCCCGTGGTAACCCCTGCCGACTCACAGCCAATCGAACAGGCTGAACTCGCCTCATCCTCTCAACCTTTAGACAATAATGAGAAGGGCGAAACCGACGACAATGTCTTGGAACGGCACTCGTCGATTGCTCCCTTAGAGGAGCCAGAATATCCCGGGTCCGCGCAGGTTGCGGTCATCATGGCTTGCATCCTGAGCTCCATCTTCCTCATGTCTCTGGTGAGGTTACAGTCCCTCCCCCTTCAAATTCTCGATTCAGCCAACCCCTTTCGACCGTGTGAACACTCGCAGAGACAACTAACTCGAATTCTCAACTCCTAAGGACCGAACCATCATCGCAACAGCCATCCCCCGGATGACGGACGAGTTTCACAGCATCCAAGATATCGGCTGGTATGGCAGCGCCTTCATGGTCACAACGTGCTGCTTCCAGCTCCTCTGGGGCAAGGTCTACACCTTCTACCCGGCCAAGTACGCCTTCCTCGCGCTCTTCGGCCTTTTCGAGATCGGCTCCGCCATCTGCGGCGCGGCGCCTAGCTCACTCGTCTTTATCATCGGGCGCGCCGTCGCCGGCATAGGTAGCGCAGGGATCTTGTCCGGCGCCATCTTCCTCATGATGGGGGCCGTGCCTCTGGAGAAGAGGCCGCTGTATAACGGTTTCTTCAGCGCCGTCCTGGGCACGTCCTCGGTGGTCGGCCCGCTCCTTGGCGGCGCGTTCACGAGTAGGGTCACTTGGCGGTGGTGCTTCTTTATCAACCTCCCCATTGGGGGCGCGGCCATGGTTGTTATCTTCTTCGCGCTGAATCCCTCCCCAGCAGCGGTTCTGAGCCTGACAGTCCACCAGCAGCTACAGAAACTGGATCTCCTCGGTGAGCTGTTTCTCTTCCCCTCGCTGATCTGTCTGCTGCTGGCGCTCCACTGGGGAGGGATCACGTACGACTGGAACAGCTGGCGCCTTATTCTCCTACTCGTCATGTTCGCCGTCTGTCTGGTCGTCTTCATCGTGGTAGAGGTTTTGAGACAGGAGAATGCAACCATCCAGTTGGAGGTTATCAAGAACCGCACCGTGGTCTCGGCCATGTGGTACATGTTCTGCCTCGCCTTGACGATGCTCCTCCTTATCTACTATCTCCCCATTTGGTTCTAGGTTATCTAGGGTAAGAGCGCCGTGGACTCCGGCATTGCCACGCTCCCGTTCGTCATCTCCCTCGTGGTCGCGAGCACTAATCCGGTCAGCTTGTTAGCCGCCTGGACTACTATACGCCTTTTACCATGCTCTCTTCTGTTCTGATGCCCGTCGGCGCGGGGCTTCTTTCGACGTTCAAAGTCAACACGGGCAGCGGGAGCTGGATCGGATTCTAGATTATCCTCGGCTTCGGTATCGGCCTGGGCCTCCAGCATGGCCCCATTGCCGTGCAGACGGTGCTCAAAAGTGAGCTTATCGAGCGAGGGGCTTACCGACGCCGTTAAGGACCTGGATGTGTAAACTATTCTGAACACCGGCGCAACGGCTCTGTGCGACATCCTTCCGGTAGCAGACCTGATTACTATGCTTGTTAAGTATAACGAGGCGATTAGAAAGGTTTTTATTGTTGGCACTGTCACGGCATCGCTGTCGGTATTAGGATCCTTCATGTTAGAGTGGAAGAGCGTGAAGAGCGACGAGAAGCCCAAATCAACTAGTAAGGGCGAGTGAGCCAACAGGCAGATGGTTTGGGGTCTGGAAGATACAATGTTCTGGCCTTGGAACAAAGCGCTTTAGGCATTGAAATACTATCTCGTGAGGGCGACCGACTTTGTATCAAATTTCGAGTATGGTTGCGTCTTTCAGGCAGTACCTTACTTATACTCGGACCAAGGTAGAGCTAGCATTCTAGGCCATAACAATCTAGCGGAGAGCAGCTAATCAAAGTTCAGGAATCCAGGTGTCTTGGAGAAAGGGATTTGCCTAGCTGCATTAAAAAGGATAGAACACAACAATAGTCAATCAATGCAATCATCATTATTCACAACAACAGCCAGCCAGCGAGCTCCACAACCCGGTTTTTTTGCAGGTGCCTCTGTACTTTAATGAATTACCGACTAAATCGCGACGGTCTGAAAGTTATACAGACAGGTACGGTGACGGTGGCTTCCGGGTGCTACATTATGTGGCTGCAGGTGGTGTGAAAGCGATTCTCATTGAGGTGGTCAAGTCACATTCTAAGTAAAAATTATTATCAAAATGGCGCAAGCTCCTCTCCTCTTTCCCAGCAAAACTCTTGTGAAAGCACGATTATGCTTTGATATGTCATTCTCAACTGTCACCATGAAGAGTCTATTCTTAACTCAGTTTGTCTTCTTTGGGTCCTCCAAGCTCCCTGTCGGTCTTGTTCGAACCTTGCTACGCGTAAAAGCTTTCGCAGACCAAGATACCGCTGCGTTTGAAAAGCACCCAATGTCAGCCAGGTATTGCACGTTTTTCTGCAACACCCACGCAGTGTCGTCCTCCATCCTCGAGCGCCGGTCCTGATCATCAAATCTGGGTGGTGATGCTCCGAGAATCTCTGAAGTGGACTCGAGCATGTGCATGATCGGCTGGCACGGATGGCTCTCCGTCAAGCTTGCATCATGAGCCGAGGCATTCATGTCTTCCTTAGCCGCCTGAGCCACGCGCCGTAATCGAGGGGCTCTAGAACAGTATCCAATAATACCTGGTTGACAACTTCCCAGAACCTACCGACAGAAAGGCCGTTCTGAACCCTCGTCTCGCATACCTCGCCTCTGGTCGAAGAGTCCAACTTGTCGATAACAATTTCAGCAAACCCGTCAGCGCCGCAGAGGTAAACCCAGTTCTACCTGGGTTGCTCCGGGAATGCGCGGATGGCGTGGCAGCCCATCACCACGCGCCAGACAAAGTCATCGAGGTTAGGCACCCCGTCTACCGAGGAGCCGATGATGAGCGCCGGACGGACGACGGCGAACTTTGCCGCCAGACGCGGGTCGCCAGCCGCCGCGCGCTGGATGATGGCGCCGGTGATCAACTTTGTCTGCCCGTATGCGTTCGACTGCGCTAACACGTCTTCCAGCACATCCCTCTCCAATATCGTGGATTCAGCCAATTCCTCAGGATCCCATTGCGGGCCTCTGGATATATAGACAATACGTCTGGTGGTCGGAGAGTTCTTCGCGCGATCCCATCAGATCAAGCGCGGCGTCTACGTTGACCTTCCGTAGGGCCTCCGAACCAATCTACAGCCGCCGCATTGTGTATAACGCCGTCAAAGTGTTAGGCTCAAGGTTGTCGGCGGAAATCTGTTCCAGCCAATGCTGTACGGATCGTCGTTCGAGCTTACCCGATGCTGAGAGCAGCGCCCGGTCTGCCAGGAGATAAACCGAGGGCACCATGTAATAAGGCAGGAAGTCAGTGGCCTGCTGAGCACTCTCCTTCATCCACTCCTCGGTCCGTTTGTGTATCTGCTGCAAGTTGATGGCTGGACCCGGAGGCGAAGACGACTCGGAAGGGCGGCATGTGTGATGATTCAAGAATGGCCACGAGTTGCGATGCGAGTGGTCCATTAGCTGGGTAAGACACTATAGCCTATTTCGTGAGGGCATGTTGTTGGAGGTTATTCTCAATCTCTTCCAGTTCGACGCGCTGCCCTCGGATCTTGATCTGGTTATCACCCCTTCCGACGAAGATCAGGTTGCCCTGTTTATTGAACTTGACCAGGTCTCCTGTGAGGTTTGTGGTAAAAGCACACTCGACGTTGTAAGTCGCAAGCCAAGGCGCGCCTTGGGAAGAAAGGAATGCTTGGACTTCGTAGAGTTGTTGATGTACCCACTAGCAACGGCAGGGCCTTGAATAGCGAGCTCATCAACAGCCCCCAACGGCATCAGATGCTCGTGGGTCTGGGGATCAACAACCCACGTGTGACACCCAATGCCTTTCCCAATGACCGAAGAAGGCGTGGAGTTGTCAATATGGTCGACAGATGTGCACTGAACGCAGCACTCGGTCGGGCTGTACGTGTTCTGCAGGTTGCAACGGTTCGCCCATGTTTCGATGTGATGCTGGTGCATTGATTCGCCTCCCAGGCGGAGAACCTTAAGCTTCGGTACGTCGGCTGGCTGAATCATTCTTGCTGCCGACGGCGTCAGGTCAATCACGTTGACGGAGAACTCGTTGATGTTCCTGGAAAGCTGCACCAGCTTGTCCTCATCTCTTGGGATGCACACGCAGCCGACGCCGCTCAGCAACGTCGCGAAGATGTCGGCTATGGACGTGTCGAAGCTGTAGCTGGAGAACTGAAGAATATGGGCGCTGGAAAGATAGAGCCCGACACTACATTGGGCTTCGAGGCCGCTTGTGACTTGGTTGTGCAACAGGACCACTCCCTTGGGAGATCCGGTTGAGCCTGAGGTGAATATGCAGTAGGCGGCCGACTCTGGGGGAACACTATGCGTCGTCTGAGAAGCACATTGCCTCGGGGCTTTTGTCACGGAACATGTTCTCAAAGTTGATTGATTGTGCTCCAATGTTTAGAACGAGTTGTTGACTAGCGTTCGAGCAGACAACACAGTTTGCCCCGATGACCTCAAGCATGTACTTGATACGATCGGTGGGAAGGCCGGAATCGATCATGAGAAAGCCGTAGCCCCCTGAGAGCATGGTCAGCATGGCGACCAAGGCAGCTGCCGACTTTTCGTAGCAGATGGGAATGATTCTTCCACCAGCCATGCCTCCGAGATGAGATGAGACACGCGGAGAGAGCAGCTTCACAGTGCTTTGCAGCTCAGAATAGGTGTATCTGGCATCCCATCCATGAACAGCGTCGTTCGTCTCCCAGTCTTTTGCTTTGGCGAGGATTCGCTCATGGAGACATTCGTGATGCTCATTCAGATCGCTACAGCTGAACTTGAGGATGTCTGCAGCTTGTTGATGTGTCAGGGGTCTCAAGTCTGAAACCACCGTTGATGGATCTAGGCCGGAGTCGATCTGGAGCAGCAGTTTCTCCAACTGCTTTGCCATCATTTCGACGTCCCACCCGGGAAGAACGGCTGAATCGTACAGCATCTTCACCGTGACCCCTCCTAGGCGTGGGAAGCACTCAACGACAAGTGGGTAGTCCACGTAGGAATCAGATGAACCGGTTTCGATATCGACAATAACTTCGGTGTCAAGGCTAAAGCGAGACTCGAAATCCGGCTGTATAATGAGAAGTGTCGTGAATGATGCGGCAGATGAACCGATCGAGAGGGAGCTGCGGAAGGACACTCCCAGTAAAGGACTCCAGCCTAGATCTCCAGAATTCTTTCGCCCCTTCGGCCACCTGTTCATTTACCACGGCGTATGAAAACGTTGAGAATGGTGTCTGTGAAGTTATCTGTTGGTCCCTGTATGCTTTCTGGGTCATCTCGAGGATCAGATTGGTTGGCCATCGATCGTAGACGGAATGATGGATCCGTCAACGCCAGATTGAGCCAGCTTCATCTCCCAGAGCGTCATTTATACAGCGCTGGCATAGCTGAGATCCGCATGTCATTGGAGTTCGCCGAGAAAAAGACTTTGATGGCAGCGCGCAACCTTCATCAAACAGCATCGTGACGTTGTACAGTCTTCCGTTTGGATGGCGCACGATGCGGCTCCTCAACATGGGTGTATCACGGAGAACAACCTTCCAAGAGCGGAGAAAGTCCGTCTTCGCCCAGGTTCTCGGGAGACGAAAAGCAATTGCTCCGCGATGTACGCACCGTCTTGAACTTCACTGAGCGTCATCAGTGCCGCCTGGATCGGCGTGTGCACGGAAACACCTCCTCAATCAGCTTCTCGCTAACTCCAAACTGCTCTGCTGCCGTAAAAAGAAGTTCATCGGCATTTACGTCAGCGACAGACTGGTTTCTCTGCGGCGGTCGATGAGCTTTGTCTGATTGAGGCGTGCTTCGCTCGGCAACCAATTGTACAATTGCCTTCAAAGTCGGAGATTGACGGCATGATACCAACCGCGGGCAGTTCTTTGCACACTCGAAGTGCGCAGAGAGAATTGCCGCCTGTGAAAGAATGCTTGACAGATCTGGAGCATAGTTCTCGCAGCGGGGCTTGAAACGAAATTGAAAAACAACAGAGGGGAAGAAACGCGTATAGTGGTATTCAACATGCACAGCTCGCAGATTGTACTTATTTGAAGGGTAGGAGCCCCTCTGGGACCCTCCCCTCCGGCCCGGCCCGGAGCATTCGGAGGACATGGTGGAGCCCTTGCCGGCCGGAGCCTACACCGCAACCCGCGGCTGTTATGCCCCACTTTCCCCGGTCCTCCGACGTGCACAATCCTGTAACCTGGAAGGCGTTACGACAGGCACTTGTCTCTTGAGAATCCCGCACTGAAAATTGATACCATCAAATTCACGACTAAAATGTCACTCTTTTGTACACGAAACATGCTCGTTACGATGTGATGCATGTGCACCCAAAGTCCACCTATAAGCTTTTTAGATACATCATTATCTCTACGTCAACTCGCCGACGGCGACATCAGGTCTCGCGCCAGCTGGGCCACAATCTCGCGCTTCTCCCTTGAGCTTGCCCTGGCAATCTTCTGGCTCTTGTCGTCGAGCTTCCGCCAGACCTCGACGAACTTGTTCTTGGTCGGGTCCGACGTGCTCATGCCAAAGTTCTGGATCGTCTGCACCATGGTCTCGGCCCGCCGCAGCTTGAGAATGTCCTCGTCGCCGAGCCGCACCCCGGACCCGAACATCTGGTTGATGCGCGCGCAGTGCATGATGAGCGCCGCTAGCCCGGCCGCGAGCGCCGTCGCCACAGAAGACCCGGACTCCGGCGGCAGCTTCTGAACGCCACCGGGGCTGCGGAACCCGTGCCGCTGCACGACCTCGACCCCGGGCAGGATGAAGTCCAGGTTCGCGAGCGAGCCCGCCCACTCATACGGCAGGCCCGTCGGCTGCGCCGCCCCGATCTTGATCACCGCGTCGCGCCGGTACGCCGCCGGGTAGTAGTTGATGTCGCTGTTATGGCCCGTGTCGCGGCTCGAGCAGAAGAGCAGCACGTTGTTGTTGAGCGCGTACTGCAGCGCCCCGTCGAGCAGCTCGCGCAGGTCGTTGGCCGGCCGCGTCACCGACCACGACATGGAGATGATGGACGCCCCGCGATTGACCGCCGCTCGGATCGCCTTGGCCGCGTATTCGGGGTTGATCATGGCCCCCGCCCCCGCCGTCAGCTTCGCTCCCGTGTTAAGTCGGATCGGGTAGATCTTGGCCATTGGGCACACGCGCGCGATCATGCTCGCCATGACGGTGCCGTGGCCCGTTTCGGAGGCGTGCCACGGCATGTTGCGGCCGTCCTGGAAACAGAACGTGCGTCCGGTGAGAACCCGATCCACCAGCTGTTCCTCCATCATGTCGACGCCGTCGTCGATGAGCGCGACGATGATGTCCTCTTCTGACCCGTGCTGGCTCTTGAGCGGTGCCGAAGTGTTGGCCACCGGCGTGCCCGAGACATTGTCGCCGCCGGCCGTCTTGCGTGAAGGCCGCTTCTTGGCCTCTCGGATACTATCCTTCCAGATGTTCTCAATGTGGTCGGCGAAGGCGTCGGTGGATTCTAGCCAGCGATGCGGCGCCGTCGAGATCATATTGCGCTCACCGCTGGGAGCCGACGCGCTGAGCGAGTTGTTAGCCTGCCGAAGCCCGTATGCATTCTTCACCCAGATCAAATCGACGGAGGGGACGAGCTGCACTGGTTCCGGACATAGAGACAGCTCAGCCTGTCCCGGCGGAGGCGGCGGCCCCATTGGTATCACTGGCTTGTTCTGCTGCTTTGGTTGAGATTCAATGTATTTCTGGACGTATTGCGGACATCCCTCTTTCAGGCGTTCCCTGAACTTGGCGATGTTGGTCTTGATACGGCCCATAGACTCTAGTGTTTGTGTCTTTCGCTCAGAAAAGTCAGCGCTCATGTTTGTTGTCTTTCAAGATTTGGTGTCTTGCCTCGTCAACAAAAAGGTAAACCTTCTTCAGCTTCGGCAGCCGTCGGAGCCCTTCCGGCTCGCCCCAAGCGCGCAGGACTGCGTTGTTCCCACTCCATCGCAGCATGACTTCGGACAGCTGCGAGGTGGGAGGAAGCTCCGGACTTGTCTTGGTGAGCGTCGCGTTGTACAGCGTCTCAGGGTCCAGGTCCAGCTTCGACCAGTCGAGAGACTCGACCCCGAAGCCCTCGAGCACCTTCTCTATGGCCGCATCCGAATGAGGCTCCTGCGACGAGTCGTCGACGATGACCTTGAGGATGCGCTCCACCTTCTTCTTGTTTCTCAGCCAGTCGAAGAAGAAGAGCATATCCAACCGCCCGCGTCTCCCGGCGCGAGGAAGGAGCTTCTCTCCCTTCTTGTCCCAGTTTAGCACTCGTACTGGTGGGAAAGCCACGTATTTGAGCACCGTGTCGAATTCGACGTTCTTGAAACAATCCTCGAAGACGTCGGCGTCGAGCTCCGCCGTAACTCCCTGGTAATCAAACCAGGTTTGAATGTCTGATGACCGGTCAACAGCAATCCAGCATATTCTACGATACAACTTACCCTTCGGGTTATCGCCGTATAGGAACCGCGTGGATGCCTCGTGGGACCGGGTCCGGAGGCATTGCATCTTCAGCAGCATTTGAATTTTATCGGACCACTCGTCGCGTATCTTCTTCCGGTTCTCCGGAGTCTCCTCCTGGGCCTTTTTCTTATCCTTCGCCGCTCCCTGCCTCTCTCTTTCTGCGACCCGATGGCCTTCCGTCGGAGCTCTCTGCAGCCCGTGTCCTACGGGCGAGTTGAGGTTCTGGCTGTCGCCTCTCCCGTTTGGTCGCTCGCTGCCGTCTCGGCCTAGGATGCGGATCGTCAGCAACGGATCCCGACCACGCCCTGGGGCCTCCTTGGCACTCGGCGCTTCTTTGGATCTGCTGGGTCCTTCCTTGCCTCCCGAACCCTCCTTACCTCCGGGCCCTTCTTTCCCACCAGGGCCTTCTTTGCCACCGGGGCCTTCTTTTCTCGAGTCAGGCGGCGGTCCGCGTCTGTGGTTCCGACCCGTATCTGGGCCTCTGACTTTCCGCTCCCTTTCCCGGATGAAGATCGGTCCCCGTTCTCGTGGAGGGCCGTTGAGCTCCTTTTCTCTTTCCTTGTTGCCGTCCATGGGGTTACGAACGATGTTGGAACCATCCGCGCCAGTTCGCCCGGTCGTTGGCGGCTGCGCCTTTGGCCGGGGAGCCGATGCGCTTACCTTCGGGGGTTGCGGCGGGGGCTCTTTGTACCCCTCGCGCGTCCAGCGATGGTATTCGTAGACCGACGTGTCGTCCTTCTTCGAGCGGAGGTCGAGGACGGCCTTTTCCTCCGCGATGAGCGTCGGGGACTCGCCCGCGGCCAGCAGCAGTTCGACGATCTCGTATTGCTCCTGCGAGCTCCATTTATAGTCGACGGCGTAGTGTAGCGGCGTAAACCTGCCCCTATCCCGCGAGACTGCGGCTGCCTCGCTGGCGCGGCTCGCCAGCCGCTTGAGGAACTTCATGTTGGAAGCGAAGACGGCGTGGTTGCGCATCGCCAGGTGAAGCACTGTTTCGGAGCGGTTGTTGCTGACGGACGTGCACTCCACGGCTAGCGCCTCGGTGAGCGGGTGCGATGCCTCGTCGGCGTTGCTGGCCGCGTCGTCGTCTCCGCCGTCGCCCGCGGCCGCCGACTTGGCCGCCGCGGCGTCCTTGGGCCTCTTGCAGTTCCGGATCATGTTGATAGCGAGGCGGTTGTCGTTGATCGAGGCGCAGCACTGGATGGCGCTGTACAACGGCGTGATGCCGTCGGCGGTTATCGTGAGGAGGTGCGGATACCGCGCCGTGATGGTCTTGACGGCCTGTAGCAAGGCGCGCCTGTGCGCGGCGGCCTTCTGAACCCTTATGAGCTTGGGGAACTCTTCGACTATGCAGTGCAGCACTGTCTTGCTGTTTATTTCGGACTTGGAGTCGAGTTGGTAAGCGCCGAATATCTTGTCCGGTTCATTTGCAAGGTGACTCTCCAAGGTTTCACAGTCTTTTTTGATGGTTTCCATGAACCTTTGTATACTCGCTTCATTGGTTTGACCTTCGGTGTCGTCGACATCGTCGAACTCATCCTGGTCATCATGGTATTCCGAATCGCTGTCCTCCTCGTCGCTTAGGCTGCGGCGTTGCATGTTGGTTGTTGATGAGCCTCGATCCCAGTCGGACCGGTGAGCGCAGTCGTTGCGTCGAACGATAATTTGTTGACTGTGAGCAATTTGCAATTTGCTATGGGCGCTTGGTCGAATCCAGCTCACCGAAGCACTGCTTGAGATTCTCGAAAAGATTGAGAGGAGATTTGTCAAGTTCAAAGAACATGAAGGGAGCGTTGACGTCTCACCGTACGGCAAGGCTGGCGGGTGAAGTCTTCCTCGGACTATCAATGGGCTCGGGGGTATGCCCGGCGCTTCCAACCCCTCTGTCGCAAGATGGATGCCACCATCGGATGCCAATGGGAATATTGCTATGGAATTTTCGCGCAGCCTTACTTATCGTGCCGCATTCGCACATCAATAGCGGATATTGGCAGCCAGGGTCATGTGTGGGATTATGGGATACGACCTCAGATGTTTGCTGGGGCGAGTGCAGGTACATGACGGTACAAGTCGGACTTCTGGCTTCGAATACTACATGTATTAGCTTGCAGCATAGTTATCCCGGGTCTGTAAGGCACCAGAATCGCAAGGGGCAGCTCGTGGACGACTGGGAATGACGCAATTCATGGGGTTGCCGTACCCGCTCCGATGTGTGGGTCTGCTTACTAGTAATGAGTACGTACAGTAATGTATCTCTACCACGTAGTCTCTAAATAGACACGCGAGACAGGGTTCACGACCCCTCCAAATTCCCTCATTCTCTCAGCTAAGCCCCGGACACACCCGTCTCACTTCTCCTTGACAGCATTGCTCCTCACCGTGGTCACCGTCACATCCTCGATCAAGGACAGGTCAAACTCGCCGAGATTCTCCGCGTCGTACTTCATCAGCTTGCGGGTGGGCGGCAGGCTCGTCCTGAACAGGATCGGGTCGTCCAAGCCGCGCCGGCCAAGCAGCTGCTCGATGCGCGTCTTGAGGTCGACCTCGGTCTCAATCTTGACGGTACAGAAGAAGTCATCGTCGGTGGATCGCTTGAGCAGAATGCCGACGCGCATGGCCGCAGGGACGCCCTTCTTGGTGGTGCTGTTCTCCTTGAGCGTCCACGTCGCGGCGTTGTCCGGTCCCGCCGGGGCCTTGAGCCGGTCGATTGAGCCGATCACATAGGCCGCATCCGTTGTCTCCTCATCTACCGTGCGCTCCCACTTGACGGTGCTCGAGAGCTCGGCTCCAACAACGCCGACGCCGGTTGTGCCCGAGGCGCCCGTGGTTGTCGACTCGGTCCGTTGCGTCGGCACCAGGCTGAAGCTGTCGTCGAAGGAAATGGCCGCTACCTCCGGGTTCTTGCGGGATCGGCCCTGAGAGTCGAAGAAGGCGAACTCTATGTTGGCTAGAGCCACGCGCCGCGCGCGCCGGCGCGAGTCGAAGCGGAAGAGGAGGACCAGCAGCGTCGCGGAAGTGTCGGGCTCATCGGGACCCCAGCTGCCGTGGACGGTGTCGACGCAGGTGCACTTGACGTCGACAGCGCCCTTGCGCTGCACGACGTTGCTCCGCTGGAAGGGGTCCTCGCGGTCGTTCTGGGTGTGGAAGCCCGACTTGCGGTCGCCCTCGAGGAGGTCCACGTCGATGCTGAGGACGTCGTCTCCCGTCTCAAGGAGCTCAAGCTCGCTCTCATCCTTGACGGCCACGAAATTAGTCATGGTTGAAGGAGTGACTGTCTGCAGAAGAGTGTAAGTCAGTAACGGGCTCGTGTGGTGTTTTGTCCCTGACGTAGATGAAAAAACCCGGAGTTGACGGCCTTCACTCTTACGGTCAGCTAGTCTCCTTAAGGCTGGATCCTTTATGCGACGACACTGCCCTCTCGCACGGCCGTTGATCAATGACAGCGGCACGCCGGTGGTCAACTATTCAAAGTGGCTTGCGAGACGAATCGGCATCACATTTACTGACACGTACTAGTACTTTGGCGCGGGGGAAACCCCAGCCGTGGAAGCCCTGAATGGTTTGATTAGTGGTCTAAGGAATATGCATCATGCAGTCAGCAGTGTAACAGCAGCATGGGGGTTGAGACCTGTGTTGCATTGTGCGACCCGGCTCGGCCCCCATATCTTCCTGATCCGTCGCAGCCTGCTTCGATTACCATGACTATGGACATGGGGGCTTTGAGTTAGGGTCCCACGGCTCGACGTCCTTGACTCGCCAAATCACCTCCCGTCATGCCCGGCCGACGCCAAATAGCACCTAGATCTTCATACAAGCAATCGAGGCCCCAAAATCGTCCATAATACCAGCTCGTCAGGTCAGGTTCATGGCTAGGCCAGAGGCTGCGACGACCACCGGGCATAACGATAGCTAACCACCATGTCTTCCGTCAAGAGCGACGTGGACGACGAGCAGTACAAGTTGGAGGACGTGGAGGACGAGACACTCAAGACAGAGACAGCGGACAAGCTCGAAACGGACGATGTCGAGAAGCCGCCTTCCGAGCACGGCGACAATGAATCTGTCGCTTCGGAATCTCAGAGTGTCGAGAGAGTAATCGAGTACGGGCTCCTGCCAGAGAACGAGAACGATGGTGGATTTCAACTCGAGTAAGCGAAAGACTTCTGGACCCGCACAATTTTGACTAACGGAATCGTAGTGTCATTACTGTCCACAGCGTCTCCCATACCTCCTGGTCGGTTGAATACATCACCGGTGTCTGGAATCCGAACCAGGGCCCTAAACCGAGCTCTTGGTGGCTCAGGAATCTATTCAGTAGCAGCCGCGTACTTCATTATCACTACAACATCGATTGCACCGATTTGGACGTCCCCCCCGATGTCTTGACCCCTGGCGGGATCGAACGCGAGGCGCAAAAGCTTCTCGACGCCGTCACGAGGAACTGGGCAGACAACCCTCCAAGAAAAAACCCACGGCCAATTGTGTTTGTCGGCCACGATGTCGGAGGAACCATCATCAAGAAGGTACGATTTACATTGAACTTTAAAACGTCTTCCGAATCCCATTGATGCCTCCCGGAACCGTGTGTTTGAGTTCGAGATCAATTACCAACTAAGAAAAGGCACTCGTTCTGGCGTCTCTGAATCCTGCAAAATACAAGGACATTCTGTACTATAATTCGACGCTGGTAAGTTCACAGTCGCTTCACTCCCATCACATAGCGTGACTAAAGTCCCAAGGTCTTCCTCGCCTGCCCACACCGAGCTAGACGCCTGGAGTTGGAGGACTCATTCGCCCGACTGCTTTCCATTCACCCTGGCACGTTCACACCTCGGGCCATTGAGACAATAGCCAACCTTGCTTCAACTACTCAGCGTATCAACGCCGAGTTCCTCGACACAAAGGCGTTTCTACGTGCTGTAATGATAAACATTATCGGCGAAGAACTTAAAAGGTCCCCCAGCTACACCCGGATTATTCTGCCCACCCCTTTCCGGGTGTCTTCATGTGCGACTGAGGTCCTCTACGAGGAGTGCCTCGTATGGGACACTCCGCATCCACGATTGATCAATGGCGATAACTTCAAGGCGTGTCATGCAGAGTTCTCCAATGTCTTCGGCACTCACATAGGCCAACATCCATTCAGTGAGTCCGCATCCTTTGTGCATTCACCAGCAAGATCTTTTTGCGTATATAACACGGCCTGTGAAGCTGCCCTATTGGGCTGCCCTGCGGAATTGCCCTGCAGAATCGCCCTGTGGAGATAGGATATTGACCGTAGTGGTTATGGGCAGCTAACTAGGAATAATAGCCATTGAACCCGGACCTCAAGATACGCCCATACACAAGGTTCTCATTCCAAAGTCTCCGCCGACGGTTCCTTGGAAGTTGGACGAATTCACCTGGTTCGCGCGTGAGGTGAATCACTGGATTGTAGGCCATGAAGAGTACCGGAAGTGGCAGAATTCTTCCGGTCTGGGGATCCTGCATTTCCGCTGTCCCGAGGGGCTCACCAGGATGTTGTCGCACAGGTTCTACGGCCGCATAAAAAACCCAAAAGAAAGCACCTTGTTCCACATCTTCTCACGGCGGGACGACAGATGCAACAGCCTTGAGAGCCTCTTCGCAAATCTAGACTGTCAATTGGTAGGACGCTACCCATTGTACTACAGATACTCTTTCTGCTGGGCCGTGTTGGTCTCACAGAAGGCGTGTACAACTCAAGACCTTGCTCAACTCTTTTCGTCCTACAGCCGCGCCGTACATCTCAAAGAGGCCATCTACTTCGTCTCCTGTCTCGACGAATGCGACGAGACACGGTACAAGCTGGTTGAGTTTCTCAGCGAGATCAGAAAACACTCAGAGCAGCCCCTCAGGTTCGTGGTGACCACCACGAAAGGCCGCGATGAGCGCCTCGAATCTCAACTCGCCTCCTTCCCTACCATCGACGCTGGGGAGTACCTGGCGCGTCCCGAAGAACAAGCCGCATTCACGAAAGAAATGAAGAAGATGGTTGAAACCCAGATCGAGCGGCTTCTGCGTCTCAGACCTGCATTCCTTCAGTTCAAAGATCGCATCCACGAGGTGCTCGCAACTTGCGGCCAAGACCTTCAACTGGCCTGCTTTGTGACCCGGTGGTTGGCCGAAAACACTTCGATCCACAACAACCGATCCTTTGTCCGAAGGATTTTGGACAGACTCACGCCTCTGACTACAGAAACGTTCATCACTGCTATCCTGGAATCCTTCGGGGACCGCGCCGCCAGAGTTCGCAAGATGATTTTCTGGATCAAGCTTGCCTTTGAAAAGCCGACTTTGCGGGAAGTTGGAGAGGCCCTGTATATCTCTGCCGACATGAAGGACCCAGACGTGGAAGGGCTCGAAGACATTGATTACGACGAGCTCAGCAACGATATACTCCAATTTGGTGGGCTCATCACCTTTGATGGGCACGAAGTTGATCTATTCCGCCCCGAAAGCTTCCCGTCTAACGACGCTGCGATCGCGCATGCGGAGATGGCTTCGATATGTCTAGACTATCTTGTCCTTCCAGAGGTCTGGGAGAATCTGGAGGACATGATAGAGAAGAATGCGTTGCTCGACGAGGCGCCCGTGTCGCGACCACGCCACAACCTAGTTTCCTACGCCGCAAAATACTGGACGAAGCATTACAAGCTAGCTGGAGAACATCGGCCCAAGGCACAGGCGCTCAAGCTATTCGAATACCCCAAGGCCCGCAATCTGTGGGCGCAGGCTGTCTACGTCTTATCAGATCCTTTGTCCCGGATACCCAAGGGATACATCTCGGCTCTACCTGTCGTCTCCAGTACAGGCATGGGAGAATTCGTCAATCATCAGCTCGAAGCAGAACGGATCTCGCCTGACTTTAACGCCGACTCATTTCCAGTTGATGTCGGCCTGTCGATTGTTGAGGCGGCTCGCGGCGGCCACGAGGAAGTGGTTCAGCTGCTACTAAAAGCGAGTGTTCCTAAAAACGGTCTCCTCAGCGAGGCACTCGTAGTTGCCGCGGCTTCTGGCAGCGAAACCACGCTCAATCACTTGGTTGGCGTGGCAGCGAAGATCAAAGAGTTCGAGTGGCCGCAGGAACTATTTAGACGAGTGGCGTGGCTGGGCCTCATGAAAACCGCGAAGCTCCTGCTCGCCTCGGACGTTCCTCTGCCTCCATTCGAGTGCGATGGCCTAGAGACGTCGCTGGTGCACATGGCGCTCGAGGGAAACCACCCAGAAGTGGCCAAGCTGCTGATTGATGCCAATGCTGACCTCGAAGCTACCGCGAATGACGGACAGAGGCCTATTCACTTCGCAGTTTACCAGGGAGAAGTGGACGTTATTCAGTCGCTGCTGGCTGCCGGCGTCGATGCGAACGCCTTAGACACCCGAGGAAATTCACCTCTACAGTTAGCCGCGTTTGGCGCAAACCCGCAGGCGATCAAGGTTCTCCTTGAGGCCGGCGCTGACGCTAATATCGGTCAAGACACCAGTTGGGTTGGCAACCTAGAATGGTCATGGGACGCCAGGCCTCTGCTATATGCAATCATCAGCGGTTACACCGAGTGCGCGAGGGTTCTACTGGAACACGATGTCGATGTCAACGTCAAGCTGGACGGGAAGAATGCCTTGTGGTACGCCGCTTCAAGGGGAGATATCGAACTTTGCCGTCAACTCCTGGAGCATAGAGCGAATCCGAACGAAACCACGAAAAACTCGGAGCCTCTGCTCATTGCGGCCGTGTCGTTCTCAATACCGCCAGGCAAAATCATCGAGCTTCTGGAGCTGTTCATTGAGTACAAGGTCGACCTCGAGGTTCGAGATGAGTCACAGACATGGCGCAACAATGTGCTTTCAAGGGCCGTCGGTACGGACAACAAAGACTTGGTCGAGTTCTTACTGGAGCACGGCTTGCCGACAAACATGGGCGCCGAGACTTCACAAACCCCTCTTTACGTCGCAGCATACGTGCGCAATGCTGATTTCGTGAGGCTGCTGCTGGACCACGAGGCCGACCCCAACTTGAAGAGCGAGTGGGACTGGACTCCGTTGCACGCTGCCTACGACAACGCAGAGATCACGGAGCTTCTTTTGAAGGCCGGCGCCGACGTTGATGCGGTGTGCGACTCAGGCACGGCAGCGTATCTGGCGGCCAAGCACAACCGGATGGACGTGCTCCAGCTGCTCCTGGATCACACCACGAAGCCAAACCTCGAGATCGAGACACCTGTCCTGTCGGACGGCGCTCAGTCGGGTGTTGGGCGACCCGATCCCGAAGAAAGGGGCATGACGCCACTTTGCATTGCTTGCCAAAAGGGCAGCGCCGATTGCATCGAGCTACTCCTCGGCGCCGGGGCCGAAGTAAACCACCGAACCAAGGACGGAAGCTTCCCGCTAATGTTCTGCATAAGATCCACCTCTACCTGGTTGGCAGTCTCTTCAATAGAGCTGCTGCTCAAACACGAGTCGGAGCCGAACCTGAAGCTCACCGACAACAACGGTAACACCATCTTGCACAACCTGGGCACGCACACGGATGACAGAACCATGGAACTGCTTTTCAGGCTCGGTGCCGAGGTTGATGTGAAGAATTTGCAAGGAGAGACTCCGCTGCTGATAGCCGTGCTTTGCGAAAACATAGACGCATTCAAGGCCCTCCGGAGGCGGGGCGCAGATGTCAAGGTGTGCTCGCCAACTAAGGGCACCCTACTTCACGTGGCCGCTCGGACTGGCCGATGGGATCTCTTTGAGGAGGTCCAGGCCGCGGGGTGCGACGTGGGCGTCGCTCGCTCTCTCGGGTTCAAGGAGACCTTGCTTTACTCGCTCGCGAGCAGCAACTCGAACGGGCCCGATCAACGTCAGATTGCCGAATATCTCATTCAGGAGGCCAAGGAGGATCCCGACGAAGAATCCCCCCGCACCGCCTTTGGCTTCCCTATACTCGCCGGCCTTTTATCGCCTGCAAAGGTAGTGACGGACTATCTCATTGAAAAAGGAGCCAAGTTGAACGTGAAGGATGCTATGGGTCGGACCCCACTGCATATCGCGGCGATGGAGTATCCAGGCGACGGCACTGTCGAGACGCTGCTCAGGAAGGGAGCCGACGTGACCGCGCCCACAAAGGTCGGCTTGTTGCCGGTGCACTTTGCGGCGGCGCACCCCTGGTCGAGCACGCCGTTGGTACAGTTGCTAAGGCACATTGAGGGTCCGGGGAGTGACCTCGACGGCGCGAAGCACGGAGAAGACGACACGGAATCGGTGGGCCATAGGAGTGATGACAGAGATGAAACCAGGGTGACGCCGTTCGAGAGACGTGAGCCACCAGCTCAGACGACCGCACGAGACGGCGAAGGGACCTCTGACGAGAAGCTGAAAAATGAGAAGCCCCCGTTCGATATTGAGGCCAAGGACAAGGACGGCTGGACGCCACTCATGTGGTCTGCTAAAGGCAACTACAACAATTTCGACGTCCCGAAAGCTCTCCTGGAGCGCGGCGCCAGCCTTTGGACGATGGCCGAGGGGCCCGCTCAGCGATGGTCGCCGCTGAAGATATCACGATATTATGGGGCCACGGATGACATGATTGAGCTGCTGACGCCAAAGGAGAAGACGCGGACGCTCCCCGACGGCACGACGGAGGAATGGAGGGACCAAGATCACAAGGAGAGGGCGGGTAACTATCAGCCCGCTTGGAATTGCGGTCACTGTCTAATGGTAAGTGCACACGTTTGTTTAATCGATGATGGAGGTGGTTACTGACGCTGGCTTTCTAGGCAATTCTCGGCAAGCGGTACAGGTGTCACGAATGCGAGGCGGATAGCTTCAATATGTGCTACAAGTGCGTCGCAAGCAAAGATGTGTTGCATCCTAACCACGAGTTCGAGGCGTTGGGGCCCGAGTATGAGGTCGGTGCGGGTGATTCGACAGAAGAGCAGAAGCCCGACGATGCTGGAAATAAGGACCAGTTGGATGAAACTGGGGAAGGGGATGATGATGATGAGGTCTCCGACATTGAGGATGATAACGAGATAGATAGCGATAGTGATGACGACTGAGGTGAGACCAGTAATGGGAACAGTTTTGCTATTGGGGCCTTATGAACCAGCTATGAGGGCCTTCCCATACTCTTTGAAGCTCATTTCATAATAAGACAATCGCGTGATATCCATTACTAACCTCTATTTGCCGTTATTAGGTTTTATAGTTATCGCTGCGCTCTCTTACCAACACTGAGCTCTGCAGTTGTTACCAGGCTCCGTCGTCGCCGCTGGTCTTGCTTTATTATTATCGCTACGTCACACTCTATTACTATTAGTAGCTAGTAATACTACTACTGTTATTAGATCTGACTGGAGAGACCCTGTTAACCCGATCGGTCTAAGATGTAGAAAGAGCCACAGTAGTCAAACTCAAAAGGAATGGCTAGATGATTGTACAACAAATCATTGTGAAGAATATCGTTTCACAGTTGGAAAGTGTAGAAACCCCGATCTGAGACTTAAGTTATGACTTATGATTTATCTCTAAACACATCCCTTATGGTCAAGACTTCAAAACTGCCAATACCTCAGCTGAGTAACAAAACCTGGCCCTGACGGCAGCGAGATAGAAGTAGCCGTCTCAGTCCCTCTGGATAGGTGAGCGGCTTGTTATGCCAACTTTTTATGTAACCGAGTTATGTAACCGAGTCACCGAAATAAATCGACTAATGGAGGAACCTTAGCCGTAACATACCTAACTATGAATCCAATTTGGTCGAAATAACTATGTACGGGAAGCGTAACCCAACGTCCCGTCCCACCCTCTTCCGTTGACGTCATTGACAAGAAAATTCAAACTGTGAACGTGGCTGATTCTTCTTTTGCCTTCTCAACGACAACTTCTGGCCATCTGAAGAGCTTCTGAACCTCTCATCATGCGCTAGCAGCCGCCGTCGGAGTGCAGCAGGCGAGGGTGGTAACCGTTGTGGGCGTCATCGCGTGGACGTATACGACCTTTAGGACCTCATGCCCGATGGCCCCCCAGAAAGGAGCAGGTTCCACTGTCGTGGTAATGTGGTCGCACTCATGGCAGTCCGTGGGTTTCGCGACCGTAACGTTCCTCACCCACTTCCGGGCCCCCCCAAAATGACTTACCGCCATTTTCATACCCTAACAAGAAACTTGGATATCTTCATCATTTCTTCATCAATCCATTCGAACTTTTGTTTATTTACTAATTTTTGGTTAATGAAGCAATACACAGAAGTTGACGTTAGCCAAACCCTTGGTGCTATGGCTATTCAACGGTCCAAGGCCAGTGTATTTGCAACTAGCTATGGCGACTAACTACGAGTATCCTCAGATGAGGATCAGAAAGGAAAAACAACAAATCCCCACTTTGCCGTTGGCCTGATCAGGGCCGTACCGTACTGGCCATCGGATTGTCGGCATCGCAGGTTCCGCGGTGGGCCTGATCACGGGTGGCTCGTGGCCTCGACATCCAGCAAGGCCTCATACGGGCCCAGCCCGTTACAGGCTAACGGACAAAGCCTTAAGAAGGCATCCCTTGAATTAGGTGTACCAAGGTCAACACTTCAACGCCGAATTCGAGGAGCTCAGTTAAGAGATACTGCTGTTTCCGACCAGCAGAGGTTCTCTCCGACCCAGGAAGGCCATGTTACGGCCAGCTAGTCGTCGGGCTTTGTTTATAGAAGTTGAGGTAGCCCAGCGAAAGATTGAGGCACGACAGGCAGAGGTTGATGCCAACAGGGCTAGGAAACGTAAGAAGGTCAAAATGAGCCCAAATTCGAAGTTTGCCAACATTGAGGCTATTCGGAGGGCTCAAATCGAGGCGGGCGAACTTGGAAATAGCACAGATGAGTCCAGCGAGTCTGAAAACCCTAGTGATAGCGAAAGTTGCATTGTCGTAGCATCATAATACATATAAAAAAAAGAGCTGGAGTTATTGAGTAGAAATGTAGGAGTATGAAACTTTGGGGGCCCGGAAGTGGGTGAGGGACGTTAACAGTCTCGTTGTAGAGAGTGACGGTAGTAGTTGGGTGGTAGTCGCCGGTGAATCCTGGGTCGTATGAGGTGAAGGTAGTTGTGCACTCGGACTGGGTTGAAGTCGGCGAAGGCTCGAGAGGGCTGGCCGTGACGACAGCTGTGAAGGCCAAGAGGACTAGACGGAGGACATACGAAGACATTTTGTAGAGAGTGGATAAACGGGTGTGGATTGTGATATCTTGGAATGAATTGGTAATACTATTTCTTGGGTGCGTAGGGAGCTGTTATTAATCTTCCTCACAGCCCCAACGCCAACTTCATCGGAATTCATGGAAGCTAAAGTCGATCGGGTGTGCGGCACGCTAGGGGGAAACAGAAGATGTGATCTACAGCCGTTCCATGCCGTGAATAATATTAGAACCTTTCGAGGAGCACCGAGTCCCCCGCCACTGCAACGTCATATTCCTGCAGCTGACTCTCTGCAGTAGGTCGTAAGTCGATCAATTCGGCCAATGTTCTCTGTTCTGCAAGAGAAACAAGGCTTCTGCGATCGAGCTTGCTGTTGGAAAGCCTGGGGAGCTTGCCGACGGATAGGCCCCCAACTGGAAACATGTACGATGGCAAGGTCTGCACAAGACAAGACTTTCAAATGAAGACTCCGACAGGGTTAGAGAAGCCTTTCCCATAACAGACGATTGGTCGAGGACGACGAGCACCACGAGAGCAGGCCTGCTGGCATTCCCTTTCAAGGTGGCGACCGTCACGGCCAGCTCCTTGAAATTCCCCAGAGCCGATAGAAGCTTGTTCTTCACCTCCCGCGGCTCGAATTGTTGGCCAGAAATTTTCAATTGACAGTCGAGACGTCCCTGGTGGATGAAAGTTGCATTCCGATCGTCTTGCAAAAAGAGGTCTCCAGAACGAACGACTGGACAACATCCTGATCCACGCTCGCTGGCATAGACTATTCAATCCCGTAGATATCCCATGAAGTTGGTGAAACTTTCGACAACAAGTTGACCAGCTTTCCCAGGGAGAACCAGGAGTCCACCGTCATTAACAAGGTAGCAACGGTAACACTGGAGGGCATGGCCGGAGTTCATAATGTCGACCTCGTTGACACACTCCCAACCAGAACCACGAGGGTTTCCGAAGAGCCGTAGTTCCAGTAAATCTGCACGCAAGAACTCCAAGAATCTATCAGATCTGGTCGCATTGGTTCTCCAGCAAGCACGAGGCCAGTCAGGCTTGGGACGACGGTTGCATCCATTATTCCCAGCACTGAAGATGGTAAGGTTGTTTGAGTGGCAGTGGCAGCAAAGCAAGTGATGGTATCCTCCAGCCCATGAGACTTTCCCAACTCTGTCGGTATGCAAAGACAGGCACCAGATACGAGAGTTGAGAAGGTGTCGATCAGGTTAACGGCCCAACCGAAAGATGGAAATAGAAGATTGCGTTCGGCTGGACCCAGCTGTAGGGCGTTGCCTACTGCGAAAGCCATCGTGCTGAGACTTGCATGAGAGTGAACAACGCCCTTGGGCTCTCCAGTGCTGCTAGAGGTGTAAATTACTACGGCTGGTGACATCGCATCCTGTTCTGAAAACAAACTGGGTACACGTTGCGATGCTGTTTCCTGCACGCACGCATAAATCAAGTGTGAGTCGGGTAACATCAGGCAAGCTGATCTGCTTCGAAGGGTCCGTGAGGTCAATCAGATGCGTGATTCCTCCTAGTTGGGCGATTGATTGGATGCGAGACTCAGAAAACGACGAGCTCAATGGTACGCCAATGGCTCCCGCGCTGAGAACGGCAAGCAGAGCGACATAAGCCTGGATAAGAGACGGAGAAAATATCTCTCTCTGGAACAATCCGTTATCATTCTTCTCGTTGGCGATGCCTGGTTGTCGCTGTTTGTTGCCGAAGCTATTGAGATATGACACCTCGATGATGCTGCCCATGGTGCTGGAGCTAAGATGAGAGGAATGCTGGCAGGAGGAATTTCGATTTTTGGTCCTCGGAATAATGAGTTGGCGATGGGCAAGCAAGTACTATCGCTGAAGTAGTAATATAGGTTTATTTCTGTCCCAACCCTTGGGTCAAGTCAAGAGTCCTGGCTATTCGAATGCCTACAATACCTATTTTGAAGCTCCTTTGTGTCGTTGCCGTACCGACGTAGCTCTGCTTCAATATCCCTCGCCATATCTCCCAGATCGGAGAGGAAGTACATAATTCTCCCAACAGCCAAACGCTCTAGACCACCGAGTCCACCGTTTCCAATGAGATGTTGCTCCCGTACCCAGGGGCTGCCCCTCCACCACTCTGTTTCATCATCATCATCATTATTCCCCTTCTTCTTCTTGCCTTTCAAAGCTATGTGATTTTTCAACCAGTCAAACCGGCCTCGGGATGAAGCGGGATTCGTGTCATCCCCTTCATCGCTGACGCTATCGCCGGGGGCCGATGCCTCCTCTGGCTGCCATGGTGCAGACGCAAGCGCCACTGTTAAGTTACCCACGAGCTCAAGTTGAGCTACAACATGGTCGACGGAAAGCTTGGCATTGTTCAGAGGGGACTGTAGGCACTGAAGCTCGGATAGTATCCGGACAACCATCTGAGTCTCACGCTCTCCAGCGTTGGCTGGTGAACTACGACCTTCCTTTGCCTCGGTGCGCCACCTGAACAAGAACGACCAGAGATGCCAGGACAAAGTCTTCTTCGAGATTGGTACCGTGGATTTGAATACATCCTCAGTTGAAGTACTGCGAGTGTTGCGCCCGGTATAAATCCCTACGTCGTCGGCAACAGCTAGAATAGCGGAAACGCGGAGAAGAACCAGACGCAGCCCAGCAACAAGGTCGTGAATATCAGCACGGCCGGTATATGTGGAGTCGGTCATGATTGAAGGATCTGGTGCGGGGGCCACGTACCGCGCCAGCCTATCCAAGAAGGCCGATGTAGTCTTGTTGTGGTACCTAGCTTGGCTTTTGTTGCCGAGCCGAGCAGATTCTCCGGCGGAAGAGGAATTTGCAAAGCTCCGAGAAGTAATTACGATACGGTTGAAGCAGAGGATTGCTGCGCGGGGCCACCCTTCAAGCATATGTGCTACCGCGCCGTCCCAGGCTTGCCGCAGATCGTCGATGGCGGCGTCGGCAGCCCAGCAGATTTCCGCCGTAGAAACTCTGTCGTCGGTCAAGGAATCAAGGGCGTTGCACAAAGTGAGAACGTGGTATCGAAGCAAGGCAAGGTGATTGTTCGGGGACGTTGTTTCGCCCTGCCGGGGATGTTGGGGTCCTCCGCCCTCTCGCCCATAGTTCTGGGCCTCGCCTTGTTCATAGCAGGTATGCAGAGCGCGGGGGACATGTGCAAGGAGGTGGACTGGCACCGCAGCGTGAAGGGTTAGAAGTTTGATGATATCGTGTGGAAGTGTGAGCGGTGCGGACTGGACGATAATCTTGGGGTGTTGATGCGGCAAATGACGAGATAAAGAATCTTTAGCGTCAAAAGAGGCAAATGCGGAGGCGAAGGCCAGTGCCATGCCAACTGTGAGGGCGACAAATAGCCATACGGTAGAAAATTGACGTGGCAATGCTTTTGAAAACTTGAGTCTAGTGGGATAAAGAGGAATCGGAGAGACGTTTGTGATGGCGTAAAATGGTGGGACTGGTTTCGCAGCTAGAGGCGGATGTGGCCACACCCACGATGCCACAACACCGGCTGCGGATAGATGTAAGTACAGAGGAGCTGGGCTTGGACGAAAGTCGTTGTGGAAGTAGAGGCGTATTTGCTGATGTAAATGGCAGGGGTCTGATGCTTCGGGACGGCACTGGTGCTCTTCAACGTGGTCAAAGTCAGTGTCATCACAGCAGTTGTCGTCGTCGTCGTCAACGTCGATATCGTTGTTGTCCTCATCACCAAATGACTGTTCGAAATCGATTTCGCTATCATAGTATGAGGTCGGAGTGGTGTGGGTTTGTCTCTGGCTGTCGGGATGGAACAATACAGAAAAGCTGAGAAGATTGTACGCGTCTCTGTTCATGGAGATTGTGGGAACACCAGACGAGTAATGGAGCAAAAGTTAGGATCCGAAGATGGAGAGACACATGTAAACCTGAGATACAGGGCAAGAGAGAAGAAGAAGAAAAGAGTCGAGATGTGAATAGTCGAAACGGCAGGAGAGACGAAGGAGAGAGGGTAAGTATGGAAATGGGTCATTACGAATCAACACGAATGGAGAGGTACAAAGACACAGAGACACGGAGGAGTGAAGATCAAGAGCTTCGCGGAGTGTGAGCGAGAGGTTGAGGGGAGCGGATACCAGATGGAAACATCGTTTGCTTGACCATTCAATTGCCAAGATCTAGACCAAGTAAGGGATAGCACCAGCCGTCTTTGGTATCTCGGTAGCATATCCCTTTTGTTTGCCATTATAAGGGGGACTGTGCAGAGAGAAAATGACGTGAGGCAATCCCTGTCTTGTTTGCTTGCCGCGTTGCCAAGGGGCAAGCAAACAAGGTACGTGCGGGCATCTATCTGAAGAACGCAGCCATCTACGTACATATTTATCGACTCGTTGAGCCTGTTTGAGATTCATGCTGCAAGGAGTGCTTGAAATCATCAAGGGTTTGAACAAGGGCCAACTCAGCTTGCCTCAAGTGTCTGTCGGCGTTGGATACCCTGTCATCGACTTCCGGACCTGCGATTCTTCCCTGTGCTTGAACATCTCTGAGGCTCAAAGTAGCTGCGAGCATCTCCATCGAGGCTCGTTTCCGCTGACCACGCGCCTTCGCCCAGGCATAGTATTCTGGCGAAAGTCTAGGACCAGGACGAGCAATTGTCTCAAAGATGCTACGTCCCTGGTCTTTCTGCACCGTTGTGCTGGACTCCCCCTCAGTCTCAATACCAAACGGCCACGAGCCCGGGACATTGCCGCTGCCCTGTGCTGATATATGGGGTGGGAACCGGCTGGACGACGGCAACGGCTGAGCCTGACGGGATGCAGTGCTGCTAATTTGTATAGAGCCGAGATCTGCTACCTCTTGGACTGTGCACTCTCCATCTTCCGACCCCATTCTGGTCGGTGACAGCTGGCTAAGAGGGACTGCATGGGGTTGATCAAGCTCAATCTGTGACTTCTTGGTGCCCTTGTCGATTGCAGTATCTGTTGTGGTCCTTGCTTGTTTCTTCGGGGTCGTCTTCTTCGGACTTCTCAAGGGTTTCGGCGGGGTTGCGGACTTGGCGAAGTGTCCATGCAGATAGGTGAGAAAGTGCTGATGTTTCCCAATGAGCCAACTAGATGGCCACTCCTCCTCATTGCTCCGTTGAGGAAAGAGAACGGAGTAGCCTTGGGCCTTGGCAATTTCAGCTTCCGTTATTATCTCCAGCACCCGTTTGGATTCATCGGTATTCTGTGTCTTGAGATGCTTCAGAAACCGGAGAATCTGTCTGCCTCGAAGCGCTTCTCTCGAGATGTTGGGGCTTATGGAAGGTGCCTGTTGGTTCTGGCTTTTTAGTCCACGTCTGTCTCATGAAGATGAAAAAGATCTTTTCAGACTTACCGAGCACCCAAGCGTCGTAAAGACTTCATCCGGAGAGCTGGACGCCATATCTGAAGCGTCCGAGAAGTGGTGTGATGAATGGTCTGGAGCAGGCATGTCCAGAGGAAGGACGCGTTGGACAAAAGTATCTAAAGTCTTCAATAGTCGCTTACTGTGTGTATTTGTGTAGATGTTGAGACTCCTCACTAAATGATATCTGATGGCAGTGGGGGCTGTGTTGCATTTGTGCGACAAGATAACGCGATGAGTTCGGGCGTCTGTCTCATGCCGTATGAATTAAACATCATCTAATCTCATCTTGCAGTGGCATTCTTTTAAACCATGTTATACCTGGAAGCTTTGCATTTGAAGAAACAGGAGCAAACCAAGTCCTCACAAGACGTGGCAACCAAATGATGTTGAACAGCCTTGACGAAGGGTAGTATGTATCTTTTGCTCTCCCATCATGTCGGTTCATCTAACTATCCTCTCTGAGGGCTTCAGCCAAGAGCAAATTTTTACCTGTAGCTGGCTTTCCAAGACCTTGTAAGTCACTGTCTCACGATTGCCTCTGAAATACTAGAATGACGAAGTCATGGTGACTGCTTGTCTTACCTACAGATAACTGGATCAGTCCGGAATATACTCTTGACAAGCAGAAGTGCCTTCAACACTCCACAGAGACATTCTGACAGAGTTTCGAACTTGAAACTCCCTGTGTGACGGTCCGCATGTGCAGGTCAGCTTTGTCTAAGATTCTCAGGCCAAGTGATGGTTGATTCGATAATGTGATCTACTACAGAAAGGCACGCTGGTAAGGTGGTTAAATACTAAAAATTGTGCAGAGAAGGTACGGAGGGCGTCCCAGAAGCGGCGAGAGGGCGGGTGCCGCATCAGTAAAGCACGCCTCGTACTTTCCGTCATGATCTGTCTAGTAACCGGGATAGCAAGTGCAGTGTCTCATCATTTGTCCTTTCAATAAAGCAGGCGAAAGAGACAGAACGTCGTGTCTCAATATGCGAAAGTCTACAAGCTGAGACAAGCATGGAGCGCGAGATGATGAAATTATGCTGGGGATGATAGCGCACACTGTAAACATGAAACCCAGGACAGACAAATGATTTAAATGTAGTCAAAGCTGGCACTGGTGAGTTCGTGAAGAAGCGAGGGATTGGTAAGAGCTCCATAACCATGGCGTCAAAGTAGTGGCACACTCCAGGAAGGCAAAAAAAATGATAAAAGAATTTGTCCCATGGTGGAGGTGTTGAGGTTGAGTTAGACTTTGAAACTGGGAAGAGCTGCGAACCAGTGGCTGTGTTTGTGACTGTTCCATCTCGCCCAATGGCCCATGAGCAATAAAATATGATAAAGTAAGGCAAACGAGAAAAATGGGGAAGCGGGTGCTCAATCCAGGAGTACCTACGGTACTTTAACTTACCTACATTGACATACCTAGGTAGTAGACATCTGAGGTACGCGTTCAAAGACAAGTGATTATCTTAGGTACGGAGAAGAGGAAAGTGCATATTCGCTCGGTATACCCATACCGGATAGGAGATTGGAAGGTACTTTCCACGTCCCGGTAATCGGACTTGCGAACCACGCGTTAACCTGACAGAAGCCGGTCGCAGCTGCGGGTATGATGTCGCCAGTTGAAATCGAGGTGGAGAATACCATGGTCTCTCAAAATCTTCCGTTTGAGACCTTGTGAGTTGACGCCAGGAATCAAACCGTACGGACGGAAACACACTATCTGGTGGCGAAAAGAGTCACTGGTTCAGGACAAACGTGCAAGTGGCGTCTCAGACGTTGTTAATGACAAAGATGTTAGAGGGCTGGGCGAGAGACATCTCAGTGGAGAACGGACCATTCTCCTTCAGGTTCACCATGTCCAGCGACAGGTCGACTTGTCCGAGTCAGTAGGCTACTGTGTGTGGCTGATGGATGTATCGGACCTATCCATTACCAGCATTAGTGTGACGCTTGCTAGTCTTACTCTTCATCTTTCAACGCAAAGGGGCGTGGGGGAAGCGTTTCCCTTGGGTTTAATCTTGAGAATTGCAGCCATCTGCTATGAGTCTTTGGGAAATCTGGATACTTGGCACGATATACCGATGGTCATTAGTGAATTTGACAGCTCCAAGCGCGCCCCATACATTGACCATGAAACCGACGGCATTGGAGTTCAGCCCTTGAGCAAATGGAGGGTGGAGTAAAGATATCTGCTTTGTTGGTTCCCGCGCAGATCTTGCTGCGAAATTTCTGTCGGCTTGCAGAGTAGGCAAACAAGTGTCTTGGTGTCGGAAGACCGGACAAACGCACGATTGCGGCAAAGATCCCGCAGATCCCATCTTTCAACCCATCCGTAACCTTATTTTTCCCTTTGATACCCTGAATTCAGGGAATAAGCGTCAATTGAGAGAACTTCCATGGAAAAATTCATCTTCCTTAGTATAAGGTACTGTCCACACCTTCGTGACACTCCACGAGAATGATACCAGAGGTTCAGCAGGGGTAGCCTCATGAGCAAGTTAATGGGAAAGCAATAAATAACGCGAGAGATTGGCCAAATTCGAAAAATCGTTGGCAGAAATACATTCTAGCCACAGCATCAAGTTCTGTGGACTTTCAGCTACTTGAATCACATGACACCACGTGAGAATTGAGTGCACAACCAGCCGAGGGGTGGGCTTCGTGTTCCTGAAGGGGACCTGCGTCTATTCGTCGGACATGAAGCTCGAAATGACTGGGTTGGTAATGAGACCATCCGCAGGGTAAGGTACTGCCGGAGGAATGCTTGCGGTATTGGTCTTGAACCCTGAAATAATCCTCTAGATAGGGCACGATCCCGAGACAGGCGGTGAAAGAGAAATGTGTATTCTCTCGGTGCAAATGAGATTTGAGGGACGCTTGACAGAGTTTGTAGCCTTTGCTGCCTGTTTGGCAGGTGTTCCAGGATCCTGAATCGGCGCGTATGAGCTGGGTCCCGAAACCTGCGGTGAATGGGGCTACATGGGAGTTAGTGGATGGGTTAACCGGCTCAGCAATTCCCTTCCGTCACCGCTGAACCGCAAGAAGGATGTACGTGGAATGTGACAAAGACTTTAGATTTGGCCGATCCTGAAAGCGAAACTGTAGCCAATATGATTAAACACAGCCGATGGCGTGTAAGATTCCCTTCCATGCCGAAGCCAGCCTTTGTTGTTTGTATTGGCTGCTGTAAACGCCGCCAAAGCCGCGACATCCCCGACGCTAGTGATTTCGAACCCTCTGTTCAAGCCCGGCATCAATCTGAGACTCCGGACTTGATGACACATCACCTGTGACCTTGATACCTTGACAGCTCAATTCTGGAGTAGCTGGAATGTACCGTAAAATTCATCTACATTCCAGCCTTCGAAACGATGGATTGTAAGGAGGGGCCGCTGCGTAGGCTCCTCTTCGAAGATTTTGCATACACCTGTAGCCTTGAACGAGCGATAGAGATCGACTGTGACACGAAATTGGCCTGGTATTTGAGCTCGTTAGCTATCTTACATGGCTCCGAGGAAGCATGAATGCTGCGCCGGTAGAAGTTGTCGAGCAGGTTGTGCGGGAATGGAGAGATGAAGATCTCTACTAGTCCGAGCTTGGGATCGACTAATGGCAGGAGACTTGTGGAAACTACATCAGACCAGCCTACAAGCGTCACGATCAATAGCAATCCAAGGCTGATGTACAAGCTGCAGAAACAGTGTTAGGGCCTGAGATCAACGGCATTGACCCTGGTGATAGAAGAGCCGAAAAAATGAGCCTGGCCAGCGGAGAAAGCCTCCAAATTCTAAAGCATGCCCCAAGACAACACGACAACGATAGAGAGAGCTGTTACTACTGTCACACGCAAGAACAAGTCGTACCAGTGGTTGGATGCTTAGCAAGAGCAATGGCCAACTGCAACATGTCAAAAAAAAAAAAAACGGCGTGCGGCGGTCGCAAGGGGCAAAGTACACGGCTATGGCCTGCTCCATAACATAATCACGGAGGGCAAAGACTGCGAGGCTAGTACTATGGGAAAGCAGGCACCAAGTGGAGGTCACCGAGAAAGCCACACACAATAGCCATAGGATTATGTGTACGGCTAGATCCTGGCCCAGGATAGCACGACCGTCCAGCACGAGTACTGCGAGTCGAGTACTTTGCAAGAGTAGACACCGAGGATGTCTACGTCGAAGCTGAAAGATATGTTAGTCGCGCTGCAACGTCTGCGCCATACCTTGTCCATACGTAGAACAAAAGTGGTAGGGCTGAGAGCTGTTAGCTATTGAGTGTATCGAGGAGAGACGACCAATCACCGTGACGAAGACTATTGCTGTAGGGCTCTGTCGGGGAACTAGTGGCCTCCTGCAGAGATTCGCTGGTGGTATTGCAAAGATTGAATTGGGAGGCTGTCTTCCCAGACGAGCGGCTTCAAACACAAGAAAGAGAAAGAGACGCACAATTCCTCGATGACTTTCAAGCTAGATGCCAAAAGTAAAGGGGAGGATGATAAACCAGCCTCATGCCCGGCTATAATGGTATGACGTTGAGAGGAAAGGAGACGGAACAGAGTTCAAATCGATAGCTGATGCAGGCTGTGGGCAATCAGATGGCGAGGAACGTCGATATAGCATGGGAGGCATGCTAAGTAGTTGGTGTGTTGTAGATCGCTGTGATACCGAGATACTTAATCCCGTTCGATTGGTTCTACAGGGGTACTCAGTGATGCTTCGAAGGAGCGATTGAGCGAGTTGGAAAAACTGAGCAAAGTTGCGAAGCCTGACGTACTGGGCTACCGTCAAACCGCTGACAAGTAGGAGTATGCGTACTCGAGCTTCTAGAACCCGATAGGAATGATGCTGAATAGTCAGGCTCGTCCAGGATATTGATTTCGTGACGAGATTAACTGGAAGGTGGTTGAGGCCGGCTGTCCGAAGACGCGACATAGGCGATTCGGATGAAGAGGTGGGTTTGAGGTATTCGAGCTGTGGTCGTGTGGCCATCGGCGATCGGGCTGTATATATTCATATATTCTCTTGGAGAATTAACTTATGCGTGTGTGTGTGTGTGTGTGTGTGTGTGTGTGTGATTTTGTAGACTCG